CACTGCTCCGTTTCCCAGCAGTGTTGAACACATCGATGTCTGCATCTTGCCGGCAGACAATTTCCATTAATTTCATGGGTTCGTTAATCTGGAAGATTACTCCCCCTTAGTTTGGCCAATCAGCTTCCTAGCAGAGAGCCACTGTATCGGGTATGTAAAAGTTAATGACATAAATCAATGATTTTCCAGCCAGAGGAAGTGTGCACCAGCCTGTGATGGAACTGGACCTGCTCACTGGCCCCCGTCCCCGCTGCCTTTCTGTCTGTCCCCTGGCTGCCCGGGCCTGGCCTCGTCCTTCCTTCTATTTGTAACGCCACAGCCCAAGAACCGAATGACAGACGGCAAACGCCAGCGGTTCGTCCTGGCACTGCGCATCACCCAGCGCAAATTGACAGCACGCCTGGCTGAGAGCCCTGCGTGGAAACCACAGCTGTGACACGGACCCACCCAGAGACCACCTGCCAGCATGCAGCACAAGGCAGTTCCTGCCCCAGAGTGCTCCCACCTGCGTAGACGTGAGCGCTACATCACGAAGCCAGAGCTGGTCCGAGGAGAAGCAAAATGTTTTTCCAAGATCTTTGACAATCTGTTCACTTTCCCTTCGTTTCCCCATGCCCTGTGTATACAGTCCTCACAATCCTGTTACAATGGAAACACGCAGAGTCCCAATGGCTGCACATGCGGCAACAGCCACCTGCGGCTGTTCCACGAGGCAAACTGAGCCGCTCAGGGTAGGGCATTGAATAGCGTAACCACTGTGCTTCAGAAAGTGCATACAACACATTCATGGCCTTCATAGAAGTTTCCCATTTTTCTCCTGGAGATGCATATAACAGGTGAGAGCCCCAACACAGCGATCCCTCGTGCCGTGGTCACTTCCCCGGAGACTGACCGGCTGACTCCTGAGCAGGGCTCATGGATTTGAGTTCAATACCCACGGATGGTAACTCAAGCTGGAGAGAAAGGCAGGTGGGGCAGTGGGTTTGGAGGAACTGAGGGTGAACCCACACGTTTCCTGCTCGCAAAGACTCCTCCTGCTGCTTTGGCCGAGGGTGCTGTAAAATGGGCAGTTTTCTGACTGGAGCAGAGCCAGGAGTCTGGCGTGCTCCCATTCCTAGCTGATTAGTCCCCAAAACTTGATGGTTTTAACATACGAGTGTTTAAGTTACTATTTAAGGCAGTCTCATATTGGAAGCAAATGTACAGAAAAGAGTATCTGGTAATATTTGGAAAGGTACCAGCACATCCTGGTCTTAAATCTGTTTTTTTGAGAGAAAAATACTGCTGTTATCTTTTTATGAGCACTCTCCACTTCAACAACCACAAGTTTTCTAGAAAGAACACTCTGGGGAAAACAAAAACAAACCCAAACCACGAAAACTTCTGAGTACCTGTCCACCTACAAAAAAAACCATAGAAAAAAAGAATCTTAAAATACATTTAGTTAAGGTATTTGAGGAGTTTAGCCTTTGTTTTTTGGTCATTAATAGGCTATTGCCCATTTTCCATTTCAAGTATATTTGCCTCAGGTAAATGCTCATCACACCCTGATAACTGTCCAACTTGTGCACTTATTGCTCTGTAATTACCTTCTATGGGAAACTAACGAAAAAAATGTTATGTGGAAGTGGATCCAAATGTTTAAGCAAATTCAAATGTCTGGGGAGGGAGGAACTGGCCAGTAAGACATATCTGAGAAATTTATACTGTACCTTCCCTAGGAAAAATTTGGCTCTGCTTTAGACCACAGCTCAGTACAGCACGTTAGGTCTGTGCCTCCTTTCAGACATATGGATTAGATTCACTAATGTCAGCAGGGCTGTTCCACATTTTAAACTGAGGTGCGTGTTCAAATATTTTTCTTTTGGGGCCAAGAGATCATTTCCTGTTCTTGAGGCTATATAGCACATTCCCCACAAAAAGCACCGAAAAGGAAAAGGAAATCTTTTCCTCAGCACCCCTCTTCCTCCCAGCCAGCAAGGGCTCTTCGTGCAGGGGCATCCATATAAAAAAATGGGCTTTATATGGTGTCTGAGCCAGGCTGAACTCGGTGGTGAGCTCTGCCAGCACTCCTGCTATCTCTCATGCTCAGGAATAGCTTTACCCTCCTGGGCAGCTGCTGAGAATTAGTTCCATCAGTTATTGCAAGAGGAAAGTTTTCTGTGTGCGTGAGCATTTGCAGTACCAATCTCACCCTGTTCATACACCCACTCTGGTGTCGGTCTGCTGTGTGCGGCTCCACTGCCCGTACCTCTCCTCTCTACAGCTAGCACTGACATTTTTATATATTTTAAGCATAATAAGATAAATTTATTTAAAATTACCTCTACTTTTTTTTTTAGCTGGGGTGTAATGTTGTGCTAGCTGAGACAAGATATGCTGTCATGTATTGCGTGTAAATACATATATATCTCATCTCCCCAAGCTGAAAAAGGTTAAGAATCTCTTTCATAGTAAATATCTGGAGAAGAAGAAACAACGGCAGTTTTCTTGCATTCAAACTAGAAGAAATCTGTGCAGATTTAAGGACCCTTAGGACAGTGAAATACAGTGCCTAATTACAAATAATTTTATGATCAAAATTCTTGGCACAGATGATGAGTTACAATGCAATCCCAGCACTGGATTTCAGAAAGTTTTTTTTTGTCAGACAGGCCATAAAGCTGAAAGGAAAAATTAGAAAAGTTCTCTGAGGAGCTAATTACATTTAAAACTGGAGAAAAATAATCACCAAAGGAAGGTCTCTCCATCTTCTATACTTTTTACGGACAATAAATGCAGTTGAGGAGAAGAGCAATGCTTAAGACACGTATGGGCTTTTTTGTCCATTTGGACCAAACCATCTGCAGAGATCACCAGACAACCCTAAGAGATGACTCCCAGAGCCTGTGTCTGGGTTCAGAAGGCTTGGCTCCACTGCTGCACGTCCCTGCGGCCACTAACAGGTATGTGTGAACCACTCTAAAGTACAATTTTTATTTTGTTTTGCTCAAGGTAAGCTTATTGCACACCCAACCCGAGCGAGCCTTTGGCAAACCCCTCTGCACGACACGCGGATAGTCTCACATCACGTCGAGACCTCCAGGTCCCAACGCGCTCAGCGCTGCTCTGCCGGGAAAGCAGCGTGCCCTGGGACAGGAGGTGTGAACACAGGCCCCCGGAATGCCAAGATCCTGCTGGCAAGATGGAACAGTGCTCGGAACTGTGTGACATCTGCGCTGTGTCACAAGGGCTGCACCCCGCAGAGAGGCCCCTGGGGCTGCTCAGGGCGGCTGCGGATCCTGGACAGCCTGAGGGCGTTTTTGCCTGACCCGGCGCAGGATGGAGTTTCTGGGCACCACGCAGGTAGCCAGCTACTGCGGCACCAGGAAGAGCTGCCTGTTCCCGGACCTCGCTCCCACCAGCACCACCAAGGACACCTACCAGTCCTACTACCTGCCAGGCTACCGCTACCTCAGCTCCTGGCAGCCCAGCCTGTTTCACAAGGTGGTTTCAGTCCCCCCCGGCTCTGACAAGCCATTTAACCCCACTGGGCGCCCGCCCACTGTTCTTCTCTTCCCTGCATGCCCGCTACAGCACCCGCGACTGGCACCATGCCAACATGGTCCAGTTAAAAGGTTCCGAAGCCTCCAGGTACGCTGCTGGCAGACTGAACGCTGATTCCATGAGACTGATGCAAGATAAGGACCAACTGACTCACCAGATGCAAGAAGACAGCAGGCGAAACCTGGGAGAGAGGATCTCCCACATTGATTTCTGGAGATCTGAGCTCGTCTATGAGCTGGAGTCCCTTCTGAAAGAGACCCAAGCCTTGGAAACAGCAAACAAGCGGCTTGAATGTGCTGCAGATGAACTGCAAGGACCACTGAAGGTAGGTGTGCCACAGTTCTTTCATGACTGTACGCAGAATGGGTTTGTCTGCTGAGTACCAGTATGGCTTCTACTGTTATCATCAAGACAGAGCTTAGTGAAACATTACCCTCAGTAAGAAGGAAATCTGGCCACCATGGACTTTATACACAAAAGCTGACAAAGAAACCTATCAAGCCCCTCCTATGCCCTCTTTTCCCTCCTTTCTGCTTGAGGCTCCAGGAGGCTCTGGCCGGGCAGCTCGGTACACGACAGGAGAGCAGAAGATGGCCCTTTAAGCTGCAATATCCCAATATTCTTATCGAGCTCTGAATTTTCTGCTATTACTTGGTGAAAATAATATTTTTACTTAGGATGGCATATCATTTGTGTTACATTTTGAAGTTTTCCAATCTTAAAGGCCAATTAATTGCAACAGAAAAAGCCACAGGAATATGAGAGTCAGTGAACGATTCCATCAAAAACTCAAAACATGCAAAAAACTAGAGTCAAAGTTCTCTCCTAAACATCTGGAACAGTGCTGATGGAAGCTACGTCTATCATGTTTCTAGGAAAGTACAAATAGAAAACCAAAACTCAGTATCCAATAATGACTTGTTTAGTTGTCCATATCTGTACTGTTTCAGAGTGGCAGGCTGAGGACGCCTTCTGTTCAGGGAACATTTTCTGCTGGAAGGCTTTCTGCCAGCTAATTCTGTTTCATTTACTAGGATGGTTCTAAACAAGCAGATGAGACATTAGAAGTAAAGTTAACCTGCTGGGGCAGGTTAACCAAAACCTGTATTCAATGACTGTAGTTACGCAGTCATTCTCTTCTATAGCTGTGAAACTTCCAAACTTTGGCATTGGGTGAGGGAGGATGAGGGAGATGAGATTAAAGGATTTTGCAATGGATGAGTGTAGAACAACACAGGTGTTTTAATCCACACAATTTACGACAAAGCTTGAGCATGTTGAGCTGTAGGCCTTGCTGCACAGTAATAAGCCGCAATCAAACAGCAGCTAATCCTCAAAAGTGTGTATTGACAGGTAAGTAGGAATGGGCACTAAGAGGGATCATTTGTGTGCAATGAAACCACCTCCTATTCTGTTCCATGCTCACTGGGTGGTCATCACTTGACATATCAGCTCAGTGGCCCCGTCAGAGAGGTTCAAGGTTCCACTCCATAATGCAGTACTGAACCTATCGCAAATGTTCCTTTGTTTGCTTGCAGATAGCCCTGGAGTGCTTGTATTACCGTGAGAAGCGGCAGGGTATAGACTTAGTTCATGACAATGTGGAAAAGAACCTCATGACTAGTTTATTTATTCTGCCTCGTGCTTGTATTACCGTGAGAAGCTGCAGGGTATAGACTTAGTTCATGACAATGTGGAAAAGAACCTCATAAAGGTAAGATCAGACTGACTAGTTTATTTTTCAAACTGTGGAAATAACTGAAATCCAACTAAATATTTAACAGTAAAAACATTGCAATAATTTCTTCCTTTCATTCATTTGGAAGTCTGAGTGGGGGAAAAGGAAGAAATTTGTTGAAACTATATATATTGGGGAGGGTTAATGTTCTATTTGTCCTTCCTGGAGGAAAAGGAATAGCCTAGTATCCTTGTGAGGTCTTGTCCAGTTCTATCTTCCCTGATCCTATAAAACAACATAGAAACATTTCTCAAGATTGTTTTGTGGGCCACAGTCTATAAAATCGCAGATGTTCTTGGGGCTTACAATAGAAAATGCTGGTTTACTGTCTTGCTATATATATATATGTATATATAGTGTTACTGAACAAAGAAAATGAGATGGATAGTAGCTATTGCTAAATCTTTTACATAAAAAAACCTCAAATAACATTTTGCTAACATATTTGAAAGAAGTTATATTGGATGTGTATGAGAACAGAAACACTAGGAAAGAATACTATGGGATAACGGCATTGCTTCAAGCACTTTTTTGGGTACAGAAGGATGTGCAGACCCCTTGGATAACCGAGATGCCTGTTCAGAGCCTACAGCCTGCAACTTAGAGTTTTAGAGTTTTAATGAAGAATCAAGGAGCTAATACGTATGAGCTTAAGTATCTCTGCACTTAATTTTGCACGAGAATGCAGGGTAGGATGAAATAGTGCTAAATGTTCCACATGAACAGATGAAAAAAATATTTTTTCAAAATGAAAAACAAATGCTATTTGCCTGATCTCCTCAAGAACTGCTCTGACTATGGAGCGAGCTAGACAGTGACTATAAAGAACAACAGACTCATTTTGGAATAACAGGAAAGCCAGTTCTAAAGTTTCTGTCACTCCTATATATACTGTTTAAGTACAGAGCCTATATTTTTAAATTTGGGGTGTCACAATGACTTCCAAATAATTTAAAACACATTATTCCCTATTTCAAAACTCAGAAAACTCTACATGCTTAGCTAAGAGGGTATGTTGGGCTAAACCAGAGTTTTTAAAAAGGAAAGAGATTGGAACACCATAATGTTGTTTGAGAGACAGTACTTACCATGTTTGCATAGTTGTCAATGTGGTTGGTTTGAGTCTTTTATTTCTTTTAGGCTTAGTGGAACCTGGCTTTGAATTTCTCTAACTAATACTTAATAGTTTTGAAGAATATTTCAACATACTTCCTTAAGGAGCCCATTTCTGCAATCAGATATATTTTCTACCTACTCCACTATTAGCAAAATATTTGTATTGTTCTAGAATAAGGTAGAAGTAGTTAGAGAGGGTAGTTGAACAGATTAAGGTTCATGTTTCAAGTATCTTCATTATACTTAAGCCAAGAAAAATTTGACTTTATGTTTATTAGAATGACTCCATCCGATAAAATCTACTAACATGTTTGATATAATATAAAAAGCCATACACGACCAAGTCAAAAGATACAACTTTGTAGCTCTGAGGAACAGAGGGACCAAACCACATCCTTTCTTCATCTGCATTGCATTTGAGATATGTGAGATGGTTGCAACATCTAGAATGCAGAATAAAAAGGCTAAATTCACTAAAACAAATGAAGTTTGATGGAAGCACTGTCACTGTATATTTTCCACTGTAGGAGGCTGATGTATTCAAGGACTGTCAAGAAATATTGACAAAACTTGCCATGAAAATCAGTCAACAGCTGGGGTAAGACTTTACATTTAATTCCTGTTTTAAAGCTAGGAAGGCTGAATTCAGTGTTAGCTAGTATCTAATGACAGATTGAAAATAGCAAAGGCAAAAGCAGAGTCTTAGCCTGTTAGGTGCCCATTGCCCCCCACTTCTAATTCTTACCAGCGACAGAATTTGTATGTTAAACTGCAGAAGAGCAATACTTACTATTTAAAGATGACTGTGACTCAATTTTTAAAGTCATGTTTAATCTGAAATCCTTCATTAAAATTAGGGTCCCAAAATTATAGCTTAGTTGTGCCAGTGTTGCTATGTGGCACACTGGAGTGAAGTTCAAAGCAAATACTTTTTTATTACAAAACTAAATTCAAAGGAAGTTTATTATTGACAAAAGAAACAGGAATCTAAGCACATCATAAGGTATGAAATGAGTTATGGATCGGACTTAAGTTATTTTATGTGTATTTTTATGCTTTTGTTAGGTGAGGCTTTGGAATGTATTTTATTTCTTTGAGAATACACAAATATCCTAGAAAATGCAAATTATATTTAAGTCTTATCATTTAATTAGGTAAAACTATTCTGAATACAGTGTTCTGTTACCTACACAGAACCGACACCAATTTTAAAGTCATGTTTATACGACATGACATGATTCTCAAAAGAAACAGTTCAGTTGCTCACACACAAGGAAGATAAAATTGTACAGTTCTTCATTATGACATCATGGGAGAAAAAGACATAAGCAGATTCTATAAATGATTGCTCTTATTAATGGCACTCAGGACTCACATGAGTCAGGTTAGATGCATTTCTGCAGTTCATCCCACTACTGTAATATTTTGGGTATGTGATCAGATAAAAGCGACGGTCACATGAAGTCATTCTAGCTCTTCAGGCTGGCATTGCTCTTACGTTTGATTCAGTTCCATCACCGCATCAGGCAGATCGATAGTAACGCCACTTGACAAGTACATCACGGAAACAGCAATATTTACAAAAAATGTCAACATCTGCTGTCTTCCTGATGCACTGGACAGCAAGACTTGGATTCGTTCGTCATCCATATTACTCCCATTCTAGCCCAAGGTCTGACAGGCCTCCCAGCTTTTGGAAGAGCCAGAGGAGATTGTTAACCCCAAAATTCCTTGTGGGTAAGAAAGCAGAGATGGAGCAACCTATTTCCCTTCTTGTGATCAAGATGAGCAGAAATATTTAAACAGATTTTCCAGCGATGTACAATTGGAATTATGCTAAGTGACTTTGTCCCCCGAATCAGGAGAGATGGGAAACCACAACTGGTCTCGTCCTTTTCTGTCTCACTTACAGCTTTGCTGGCATGAAGGTTATCCCTGAAAACCTCCTCCCTTCTGCTCTGAGGTTTGCTTCATGCCACACAACAACCACCTGGTGTTTTTCACCCTTGTGGCTGTCTGTCATCAAAATGACAACCATTGTTAAATGCAGTGAGTTAAATACAATTCTTTGGGCAATATTTGCTAAAGGCGAATCCCTTCTAAGGGATGAATGGTACAGCAGCTCCCTCTAGCTAAATTACAGCACCAAGCATTTTCAAGCCACTAAACGCCAACCAACTAGAAAATGAAGCATTGCAGGAACCAAATAAAAGCAATGAACTATTTAGCACAACAGCATTAAAGGTGCTTCAGATTAAGATAAGTCTTTCTTCTTCACAGCATCAACAGAGATGTACAGCATGCCCTGGAGAACGATCTTTCTGACAAAAACTCAGCCCATTTTATTGATCAGAAGTGCTTTAACCTGAGGAACACATCAGACAGCATCAACTTTTACCATGGAGTGGAAAAAGCAGATGGAACGTGAGTACAAGTGGCTGCCGCAGCCTTCTCTGTCCCTGTCCCTGCTGTAAGTAGGAGCCTGATTCCAGCACAAGTCCCAGCCTTATCTTTGGGAAGTGACACGGAAAGAAGTGGCTTCTCTCTCCATGTGGCCCTGTTTTTCCTCGGTGTGGGACCCCCCACCACCCCCATAATTCCCTCCCAGCTAAAGCTGCCACTGTGGGAGGCTGGGCAGCGCTGGCAGTGTGCAGCACCCGCAGCACGGGTGTGCAGGGCTGTGCTTTTCAGCAAGGACAATTGTTACAGTGTGCTGCAGTGGACTCCTTGCCCTCAAACTCCTTTGTGCAGGTGTCTCCCTCTGGTTTTGATTTTTCCTGTCCTGTGGCCTTCAGGTTTCAAACCCACAACTAATCAAATAAAAATTCAGCTAAGATGTGCAGTTAAGTGCAACGTGGTAAACAGCATGGAAGTGTACACCAAGGGCTATACATATATTTTCTGTAAAAATAGCTTGGGCTATTTTGAAATTAGGCCATCATTAGCTATACAGAGAGAGGTATTAAACAGGATGATCAAAAAGATTTGGCACAGCTTTAGCATTACACACTGAACTAAAATTACTGAACGAAAACATCCCAACTGCATGCAGATTTAAAACTGTTTTTTAGTAGTGGCCTCATGGAGACCTGCATCCAATCCAAAAGCAATAGCAGAAGCAAAGCAGCTTGCAATAGAGGGCAGTGTTTTTGTGCTAATGACTCGTTAGTTCCCTTATCACTCTTTAACACAGCAATATTTGCATGGTGAATGTACTCCACAATCTCAAATGATAATGAATCTATCTTGTTGGAAGTAGAAAAAAAATCAGTATTGTTTATTTATGCTCTGCTTTTCCTTAAAAGATCACCTCATTCACTACCGAAATGAGGGCATATCCGAAGGAAACTTGGCAGGCATTCTGCTGACTCTAGTAACACTGCCTACTTTCAGGATTAGCAGTAAATAAAATTATTCTTGTCAGCTCTGGTAAAAAGCAGATTCACGTGGATAAGTTTTACAGCCCTTTTCCTTTCTCACCAGCCATTATCCAAAGAAATGCCATTTTTCATTAACATTCTCCTAAAACCACTTGGCAGACTGAGACATACCTGCAGGAGCAGAGCAGGTGTTTTCTGCCTCAAGTGAGCCAACAGGATAAA